GGTGCCACTGGGGGCACACTGAACTTGTAGGGAGTTTGATTTTGTTGGAGGTGAACATGGTCTCTGAACTTGACAGAGAACAGCTTCCCTTTCCTAGCCATGTCACCCTCCAAAGGAAGTCACACCTCAGCGAGGTGGTTTGGCATCTGGGGCCGACTCCATTGCAGCCATGAGCTCACTGCTGTCAGTGACCTTTGGTGTTTTCTGTACTGTTTCAATAAAAACTCCTTCAAGGTTGCAGGGTTTGTCCATCATAACTCACTTGACCCCAGGCACATGCCCTTCCAGAGTGTGCTCATGGTCCTCGCCAAGGGCTTCTGGTTCCTCTTGGTTGCCGCTTCCTCAGGGTTTCCCAGGGAGATCTAGGGAACAGAAGGCCCGGGGCTGTTTGGTGGGATTTATATTCTAGGTTGGGAGTTCGCCCACAATGCCCATTAGGTCAGAGTGGACCTGAATTGAATATTGGTGTGATCTTCTGCCTGGCTTCTTGCTCCTATAATCCTTCCAACCGGTGGGGCCACTTCAACTGTGGGGCTACTTCCTGCTTCTTGGGGGTTTCTCTCACCTTCCAAGACTCTGAGACTCTGGTTGGAGGAGTTAAGAAGCCCAGGGCCAGGAACTCAGAGGCTCAGCTGAAACCTTGCACCTTGGTTTTCTGTGACTTGAGCACCAACCTTGTTCTACTGTTTCCTGACTTATCCCTTTGGTTCTTATTCAGTGGCCCCAGTTTTAGGCCTGGAATTCTACTTGTCTCCCCGCAGTCCTTCTGGAGACCTTAGTCCTCTTGCTGAAACCTCCGTCACTGTGGCTAGGTTTTCACTTGGAAACTTCTGTGTTTCTACCCCATTGCTTGCTGCCAGCGCTGCCTCTCCTCCCAGCCTGGTTGTCTGCTTCTGTTTCTTGGACATCCCTAAACTCCTGCTCTAATTCCCATGTCTTTGTCGTTGGCAGGTCCTACTGTCTGCTCTCAGGGACAATAATTGTGTTTGAGCCTCTCCGATCTTACTTCACCCAATTCACAAGGGCAGAAAAAATCCTGAATTTGAGCCTAATTTTCTGTACTCTTTATTCATAGTACAGCAAGCAGATTTTTCAGTGATCAGCGACAATTCACAATCCTTTTATTTCCCAAAAGAATTAATTGTTCTTAGTGACCAGTTGGATGCACCCAGGGACCGGAGAGTATAATTTGCAATATCTGATTATTAATCGTGAGGATGTGTGCTGCATAGTCTATTTTATGGTGTCTTTTATAGCCACTGAAGTAAATATAAATGTCCTTTCTGTTCAAGGTCATGGTTACTTGCTTTTTAGTTTGGGTATGTGTAATGGTTGGCTTCCTACTGTCTTGGGATCTAAAACATCAGCATGGTGCCAGTGGGCCCAGCACCCAGAACAGTTAGCTGGGGTGAGCAGAGAGGCAAGAAGAGTTGGGAGTATGGGGCTATGTGAAGATAGCAAGGAAGGAGGTGGATGTTTACTGAGTACCTGCCATATGTGAGAGCCTGTGTTAGGCTCTGCAAATATATTACATCATTGAGTTGTCCCATCAGCTCTGTGATGGAGGGGTTATTAGTCTCATCTTACAGAGGTGGGGACCAAGGCTCAGAGAGGTTTAGTAATTTGCCTGTGGTCACACAGGCCTGTGGTTTTAAATTTTTTTCTTTTAAATTCTACAGTCTGTAGAGATGGAATATGTTTGCTTCTTGGGCTGTCTTACATGCCTGCGTTTGGGTCTCAAATGTCCTGAATTCAGAGAAAATTGGATTTACAGGAGTAGGGTAAGAGGAGGGAGTCGATGGGTAAAGAAGGCAAAAGCCCTGGAAGATGCAGACTACCACACATGTTACCCAGGGCCTAAGACAGGATGGACCTGGACCACTACATTTCTGTAGTGCAGTTCTGACACTAACCAGCTGCCGTTAGTGCGAACTCTGCAGTCTTGAGGACACAGTTCCCCATCAGACTGCCCTTACTTCAGCCACAAGCTTCAGGTGTGGGGGCCCCAGACCACCTGTACTTCTGACCAACTACAAATTTGGGGATTCCCATAGCCCCTCGTGTTTGATAGTTTGCTAGAATGATCCACAGAACTCAGGAAAGCACTCTACTAATAATTACAGTTTTAATATAAAGGATACAACTCAGGACCAGCCACATGAGCCACACAGGGGAGATCTGGGAGGGTCTTGAGTGCAGAACTTCCATGTCCTCTCCCCATGGGATTAAGGGGCATCACCTTCTTGGCACATCAATGTGTTCACCAAGCTTCAGTGTTCAGAGTTTTTATTGGGGTCCTATTACATAGGCATGATTTATTGAATCATGGACCACATTAAATGAACTCAGTCTTCTGTTTCTTTCCCCTCCCCAGAGGAGGCTGGGGTAATCTTGCCCCCATTGAAAGTCATCTAGTTAGCATAAACTTAGGTGTGCCACAAGGGGCACACCATGAATAACAGACATTCCTATCCCTTGGGAGTTTCCAGGGATTTAGAGGAACCAGCACAAAGACCAGGCAAATTCTTCATCATTTGACAACCACTGTGGTGTGTTCTTGACTTATCCTGGGGCTGAGGTAAGCTTTTATTGACTGGCTGCTGTCCTGGGCCTTCTATTTGGCTTGGGTGGAGTCATCTCTGGAGTTCAAATCTGTAGGAGAACCCTCTCTCCCGGATCTTGTTCTGCAGTTCAGAAACACTTGGGTGAACTTTGCCCTGATCCCTTCTCTCTCCTGTGGAATTTGCCATGAGGGTTGGCCATTGATTTGGGTTTGGTGCTTTTCAACAAAATTCTGCAGCTTCCCTCACCCCCCAGCAGTGATAATGTCTCTCTGCTAGGCATCACCAGTTTTGATGAATGTTTTCTCATAACGTGGATACTTCTTATTTAACCTAGTCATTGGCCTCTTTGATTTAGGCAACACAGCTATTATTCCTCCTCCCTCTTCTTAGGTGGAGGGAAGAGGAATTCTGACTCTGGCCTGTTTGGTCCAGAGCCTCTCAGATATGTAAGTGTAGATGTCCTGGCTTATGGTACAGTGCTCATAAGCATGCAAACATTTAGAATTGTACTATTTGGCTGGGCATGGTGGCTCACGCCTGTAATCCCAGCACTTTGGGTGGCTGAGGTGGGTGGATCACGAGGTCAGGAGTTCGAGACCAGCCTGGCCAGTATGGTGAAACCCCATCACTACTAGAAATACAAAA